TTTTGTCAGATTTACCTGAAGTTTCCATTTATGACAATAAACTTCTAAACTATTTAGTGCATTTTGTAGACCGTTTTTTGTTTCAGATATTAACACTAGATCATCTGCATAGAGTAGGGAACTAATTTTACAGTTATTCAATGTAACCGGATCTAATGATTCATCTTCTAGTGATTTATTTAAGTCATTAATAAACAAATTAAAAAGCATTGGGCTAATGACACAACCCTGCCTAACACCCTTGGTCGTTTTAAATATGGGTGTAATTTTATTTTTGAAACGAATGCATGATTTTGTATTTAGATACATATTTTTAATGAATAAATAAAATATGAATAAATCACAGTCCCTCTGTCACTCAATGATTAGACTGTGAATAAATCAATGAATGTGCGTGTCGCTGCAACCAGTGAACCGTGCTGCAGCAAACACTTCAGTAAAAAATTATACATAATCAATTCAGTGAAATTGTCTTACCCATTACTACTAGTAAACTGTCGTCTTTGTTGCGAGGAAGAGACTACCCGTAGTTGTTTACACAATACAACTTGCGAACATGGGAGAAGTGGGAGTTTTTCAAAGATGCCCCGCCTACAGGCTATCCGGACCGGCGTGATCATGGTAGAACTTTTTGCACGTGGCTGAAACTAAAATATAAAGTATGTATAGTTTGTGGCTATCTGCGATCAGGATTTGCCGTGTAAATTTTAGAATATTGCCGGTAAAACTAAACAACTATCTCACGAAACACCGGCAAGCGTGCACGGAAACTTATTTCCGTCCCACTCAGCTGATATAGTACCCCCTTAGCTCTCTGGAAAAAAAATTACCGGACATTTTTGGATTTTATCTAATGTTGTATCGGTACAAATTAATGTTGTTGTTATATATCATGGTTAATTTTCTGAGAAAAAAATAATATATTATTTTAGAACTATCGAATATTCGTCGATATTTTTGTTTCCTGAAAGTGAACGGTTTTGATTATTTTCAACGGCACGAGGAGACTCAACATACTGTAAAATCAGACACTCGGATTCATTGTTTTTATGTGGGTGAACTTTCATAAGAATTTTCTAGCCGATGGAAAATACCAACACTATTTAAAAATAATGATAGAGTATTTATATAAATTTTAAGTTTTTAAAATGTTTCACAATAGACAAACAATATCCAGTAATAATTAGAACAGATCGACGAATAAAATTGTCTGACCCCGTTGTAATAATGGATTATTCCAGGGTCAAAGAACGAGAACTGCAACAATGATATAGCGGTAGACACTCAACTGTATGAGTAGCGCCAACATGATGGAGGAAGAGCTTAGATGCCCTGTATGTCAAACCTTGTACACCGACCCTGTGATATTGCCGTGTTCTCACAACTTGTGTTTATCGTGTTCAAAGAATTTACAAAGCTATGGACCACCGTTATCGCCACATTTGGTCGATCTTTCGTCGTCCTTTCCGGATTATCCTGAGGGCGACCGTTTCAGTCTTCACAGCGAGACCGACAGCGGTGTTGGTCTAAGTGTAAACAGTGTCACTGCAAATGTCCTCGATCGGAACTCGTCTGTAAATCACCTTCTTCCTCCGTCGCAGACTGACAACCTGTGTCTCCGGTTGATCTGCCCAGTATGCAATAAAAACAGCTATTTGGACGAGAAGGGCACCAGCGGTTTGCCTAAAAATCGTACACTGGAAATGATCGTAACTCGATACAGCGAAAGCCGAAACATGCAAGTGAAATGTCAGCTTTGTGAAAGCGCCCCGTTAGACGCCACTGTTTACTGCGAACAATGTGAAGTCTTTTATTGTGAAAAATGTCGAGAGAGTTGTCACCCAAGCCGGGGACCACTTGCCAAACACAATTTGGTATCTCCGAATGCAGCATCGGGGAAATCTGCGCAGCTTGGCCGAGGAAAACTGAAAGGACTGAGCCGGCCAAGCACATGTGGCGATCACATTGAGGAAACTCTCAGCATGTTCTGCGTAATGTGCAGGGTACCAGTATGTTATCAATGCTTGGAAGATGGTAAACATTATAACCATGATGTTAGAGCCCTTGGGTCAATGGCTAAAACGTTGAAGGTAAATTCATTAAATAATCCTAATCAATAGCGAGCATAAACGCGGCAAAAATACGACTTCCCCTGAGAGTAGATTCTACACAGAAAAGTACTTTTCTTTTTATTTTAATTTAAAATTCCTTGCTCTGCTAAGCTGCTTTTCTACAACCCTCAGGGCATGTCGATGGGTTTTCTCTAAACACCAAAGTATAATGAAATACTGTTGAAGTGTTGGATGGGTTGCATTTGCATGCCCACTTTAAGCAATGTGAATTGCATACAAATAAGGTGAAATCACCATTGATGTATTGTACACAAGGTCATGAGGATCAAACTCTGGTTGGATAGATGCATGACTATTTACACAACTCTGCAAAACGCCTTTTTTTTCATATTCATATTTAAATCTTAATTCATTCTTGTTGAAACATTGATTCACACATGATATAAAAATAATTTTGAAATATAATTATACGGACAACTGCTAAGGTTATGATTCATTGAGGAGTTGTTGATGTACACAGGTAGCCACATTCCTATAACATGAGGTCACTGTATTATTACTACAATACCACCATTTTATTTCTGCCCACAATGCTTCGAAAGCTGAACTTGTGATGTGATTATTTCTAATAAGTTGAGGACTACTTTGTCTACATAGCGATTCACTGCATCATTGTCCGCGCATACATGATATTTAGTATATTTTATTTGTCACCTTTTTTTGAGTTCCATGTTTGTCATAAGACCAACCCCATACATCCCGGTGACTAATTTCCTGTCTGTTACCATACCAACATATATAAATGTGTGTAAAATTCTATGAATAAAGACATGAAGGAGTTCCCTCTTTCTACAGAATGACATCAGTGTATATTCACTGTTCATTTCATTATTTTCACTGTGAATTGGCAAAAATTGTCTTTCATGAAATGAATAGTTTATGATATATTGGAAATCATTTGTAGTAAACCAGATTATAATCTTTCAAATAATATTCTGAAGTTCATTAAATAAATATAAAATAATAAGTTGTAAAACGCCTTTCGCCAAAAAAAAATGATTTTCGCAAATAAGTGAAAATTTCTCGGGTCCTCCTACATCATGGAGTCACAGTGACTTTTGTGAAATGTTGTCTTCCTGGTTGCCGTACAATCCTGAAATCGCAAAAATTTCTGGCAGTGAAAATTCAACAGAATGTATATATGATTTTTACATATAAAAAATATGTGAATGACTTACACATGTCAATTAATATGCTGCTGAGTGATATATCCTTATGTCTTACAAAGGTCAATCACATGGCAATCTCATTTGAAATTGTTTTCAGGGATGCCTGGAGAAAAAGAATGAAGCAAATTAAAACAATTTCCTCTATTCAAGTTGGCCTTTTTAGTAGCTACATTCCAGTGTAGTACAAATGGTGGCCATGACTTGGGCACCATAAATGCCTGGTGAAAACGTGTGAGGAAAAATGAACGTTGCCACATCTGTTGAATTTTCTTTCTCTATTTTTTTTATAAATATATGATGTTATGGGAGTGATTGTGATTACAAGCAGTAGGGAGTAGTTACTGCTCACCATAGAAACAGCATGCATCTGTCGATTGACTGGCTCGTTTGTTTGTGGAGTAGAAAACAGGTTGTAGGGATTTGGTTGGACCCACAGACATTGTGTGACCTCACGTCTATCATGAAAATCATTTGTCGCATTTTAATGATATATGATATGCAAATATTATTTACACGCTGTCAGTATGATAAATTTTTATTATTTCATAATTTTCTATTTTTTATAGTCATACTTTTCATAAATTAAACGCAGAATCAATCTTTCACTATTTTAATTTATAAATAATATAACACTCTAAATGAATTGTTTCAAATTTGCTCGATACACCAACACAAAAATATAATAAAAATATTTTACGTCTATGAAGCCAGCATATTGTTAATGGTCTTTGTTTCCTTGGTGTTTAAACACTATACAGTTAGTATTGAATTACATTTATAAAATGATTATGAAATATTAATTTTTTTATTTCATATTTACCTGTTAAAGGTCTGCATTTAATACTGATGTCTGTTAATAAAACATGTGAACACTTGAAATAATATAAAATTCACAAATTTGAACTTTGCCTTACCTCTGGATTTATATATCTATGCCAATTAGGTGCAATTTGAAATTAAATTTACTGACGATTGGTTTCAGTATTTAAGCGTAATGGGAAAATGGTTGATTAAAGCTCACTTTATTTCTTACCATATTGTGTAGAAAAAAAACTGAACAAATGTGCATAAGGCTAATTTACATTGCTGGATGTAATGTTTATTTATTTTTGTATGATGATGCCGATAATGTAAAAAGGTAGCATATTTTTTTCTCTGGAATTAGTAATGTCCAGGGAATCAGTGCCAGGTTTGATTCATTCAACAATTCAAGATTGCATTATCAGTCAATGGTATTAGTATGGAAGAAAGATTAATTATATCTGAAAATGAGTGATGTCTTTTAATCGCAGACTGAATGGCGCCACTAGTTCATTTTCAATTGAGTGTGAAATTACAGATGTTTAATATGAATCAATAACTTTTATAACTAAATAAGGAAAGTGAAATTTGAAAATACTATCAGGCAACTTTCCCTTACTAGTAAATGGAATCTGGCTCTTGAATTTAGGAATATTATCGCTGGCAAGTGAGGAGGCTGTTCTCTATTTTTACATGTAAAAGCTGTCAATTTCAGCTCTGCAGCTCATGCTTTCTTTGCTTTTATGTTGCTTTATCTGAAAATGCATTGATCAAGTCCACGTTCTAAGTTTAGCGTCTCCTTTTGTTAGCTAGTCATTGTTCAAGACAACAAAGTGGAAAGATGTCTAAAACCGCAATTTTTGGTGGTGAGCCATTGCGATTATTTCAGTTGTTTCACTGTGCTCATTCTGTTGTATTTTTAAACCAAACTCTTGATGAGGACAGATGATGCACAATGGAGGCGTTGAACTGAAAATGGTTGCATCTGCCATTACTGTGTAATCCTCTGTTTAATCTATAGTCAAAACAAGCTCGCTGATGATATGAAGTCTTATCATGCATGTATTGAATACTGGTGAAATTTGAATAAATCGTAAATTAATTAATGTTGTGCTAAATTTAATCGTTATAAAGAAGATGTTTTTGATGACCTCTATAGTAATGTTACATAATGAAGGAGGGTATACATGTGTCTTTATTGACGATACAAACCACAATTACTCGTGTGAATAGGCAGATTGTTAGCCACTTTTTTTTCTACTACGCTGATCAGATTGGCAAAGGATAGTCATGTTTATAAGTTAATGCTGCTTAGACTCTAATTGTGTGTGTATTACTACCGGTACTTTCATAAAGTGCCTGCTTTGAATGAGATGGAACTCTCATCAATACACTCACTGATGATTATATTATGGTTGCCTGGCAGTACTGCATGTCTAACTAATTCCTCTCAATTTACTTTGTTACATATCAGTATTAGGACTGTGGCGTACACTATTTATTTTGTACTTACCTTTTCCACGATTCAAGGGTCTGCCTTGACAAAAAAAATTTTCCAATAAAACTCCAAAATCTTTAGTTTACCTCCTCCACTTCTTTTAACCTTTTTGAGACACCAAGATTATTCATACATTTTTCTAAAATGTTCCCATCTTATTAAAATGTTGTCTTTTATATTGTACAAGAGGTATACCACTGTTGATATGTCTACTCAATCACTAGCTATCATGTTAGGCACACCCTGACAGGTGGTTTTAGAAATTGACAGGTAAAATATTGACAACTCACTTACTTTGGTACTGTCTTTGTTCATACTGAACAATTCCACGGCAACCTCATATCAACACAACTTGTCATCTTCAGGTCTATATGGTTTTTATAAATATGGTGTTCAATACAGCGCAGTTGTTACGATGTAAAACTTGTTATCAAGACTTGTGACATTATTGTGCGATTAAATTGTATTTCCCCTCAGATGTCATATCAGTTTAAGTATATTTGATCAAAATAAAACTATATATATCGCCACTTGACTTTGAAAGCACGGTATAAATTATTGTCTTTACTATAACAAATGACAGGTGTTGATATTTTTGTTGCTGCTTATAATTCTACTCATTGATTGCCTGTGGACACAGCTGTGCTAGTAGCCTGAACCATTTAGTACGGTATTACTTTTTATTTGCGACATTCACATGATTACTGCATACATAAAACTGTGAAATGTTTATAAGATGCTTCTCACATGATGTGCATTTTATTATTAGTTCATGTGTTATTTATATTGATTAAACAAATATTTTTTTAAGAGAAGTATTAATAAAAGTAAAGCACTTTATACAAGTTCAATACTGAAGAATTGAAGAATGTCCAAATATTATGACAGTTGTTGATCGCAACAGATGGCTTTCATTTGTTCGTATGTTCTAATACAAAATTCCAACCTAAAGATTGGATCATGGTATTTTTTTTCTATAGTCATTTTCTACTGTAATATATCCACTAAGCTTTGTCCTTGGCAACTTAGTTTGCAAAATTGTATCACATTATACTCAGGATTCAATAGACTTAACCTTTCTGTCAGTGCACTCAATAATCCTGATTATTGACAGTAGATCAAGTAATTAAGTCTTGCTATCACAATTATCTCTCGGAACTGGGGGGGGGGGGTTAAATTTAGGGAAGGAACATTTGAGCAAAATGAAATATCAGTTGAATTAATGATCTCTGAACTGTATGTATACCCATAATTTTAGCCCTTCTAGTCATACTGCAGGTTGACTTCAATTCCAGTGCTGTATGGCCTTTATTTAGTAAGACAGCATATGTTAGGAATGCCTGTGATTGTTATCTGGTATGTCAGACATACATACATCAAAGATACCTCACAACTTCCTTCCAAAACACTTGTATTCTGATATTTTCATAAAGAACTTTTATAGGGCTGCCTGTCTTCCTCGATTTTCCACACTCTATATATTAATATTATATATTTATTTAATTATTTATGCACATAAATTTGACCTTGACTGGAAATCATTGAAATAAAAATTGCAGATGAATATCTAATGTTTGGTGGATGGCAATGTCCGGATGGGTGGCTGCATTGCTTACAACTACTTGCATTACAAGTACCGTTCTATAGTACACATGGGTAGATATAACTAAAATAAACAGACACACTACCGCTGGGAGTTGAATAAAAACAAACATGCCTTGAACTTTACTGGAATCTTTACAAACTTTGTGTGGTAGGTGTTGAAAGAATAAATCAGGTTTAGTTTTATTAAAAGTATTCATAATAAAATTTTATTTCGAATTTTATTGCAGGGAGATTTGTCGCATGCCTTGACATCGTTATCTGAGAAGGCGAGACAAGCAAAGGATTTCATTTCTGAGCTTAGGACCATCATTGAGGAAGTGCAAGTGAGTATTAAACTATATTATCTAACTACTTTGGATGTATTTATTATTGTTGCGTTTGTGTGATTACAGTCTCAGTCTTGAGATCATGCACTGTCATGAAGCAGCCTGTTGATCTGTGTGTCTGTGAGTGACTTTAAAATATTCCTTTTTTACAGACTTTCTGCATGGAAATGTATTCTATCCTCTATTGATAAATAATACATTGAAAAAAAAACATGCAAACATTTGCTGAATCAACATAGATTTACTTTGGAAGATTTACTTAATAAGTTTTAAAGCTGCATATTCCACTCATTAGCTACTGAGTTACCAGGATAACAGCAGGTTTCCCGCTTCCATGGCTTTCCATTCAAATCAATGTGTTTTAGTTATTCTACATATTTTTTTTTAATATATGATTTCAAATTTGATTTGTGAAATCAATAGCAATGGCATTGGGATTAAGTATTATGATTTAGGGAACACAACCTACATGTACTGTAAAATCTGTATTAGAAGCTGCGGCTTCTATTAAAATGGTACAATACAACACATGTGATGCGGCTTTTATTAGAGCATCTACACATATAAGAAATGGTGAATTTTTGGTTCTCAATTGTCCCAATGAATGGGTGCGACTTCTAATAGGGATGTAGCATCTAATACAGATATTACGGTACCGGTATTAGCGCATTTCTTATATTCTTTCATAAAACAACTTTTTCACTTTTGATCAGCTTTTGATGCTGGTTACCTGAGTACTGATTTGTCCAGTCAAATGACTCAAACATCTCCACTATAAACAAAAAATAATTGTCAGAAAATCAATATTGTATATTTCATAATAGCATCATGTTCATATTGTTGTAATGTTTCTATTGTTATTTAGGTTAATACAGTGGAATTTGAGGCCAGTCTCGTGGCTCAGTTTGATCAGTTAATGGAGGCTATCAAACAGAGAAAAGAACAACTTCTGAGTGACGTAAATCATGAGCGAGACTTCAAAATAAAAATGGTTAAAGATCACATTGGTCAGTGTACCGGTAAAGTTCGACAAACAAATGGATTACTGGAATTCAGTATTGAGGTCATGAAAGAAACAGATCCAGCCTCGTTTCTCCTGGTGAGTTGAATTTCTTTTGATATAGATGTGTGTATGTGCTGTATATATCGTGAAACTTAGTGGGATGTTTGCTGTTAAGTGGTATTAATGCATGTATGTATTCAGTGTAATATGATATTCAACAGTCATATTTTTATACCATCTTCATTCATCATTAATATTTCATAATTTCTTTCATCCTTAATTGCCCGATGCCTGTGCGTTGCGTTGTAGGATAAGGTATGGAATGTTAAACTGTATAAAAATGGGAGGGGGGGGGGGCAATAATGGAATATCCAACATTCGTGTGTTTTATACTCATTGCTTGCCTCATTTCTTCATTTGTAGCTGAATAAACTGTACAATTAACATTTGTTAAGAATGGCTGAATGCTTTCTATAAGTGTATTTCTTTGCAGTGTATTGTGTGGTGTTAGTTTGGAATGTCAGCGCCCTACGTATGGGTTTTGTGAAGCATAAGATTTATTATAAGGAACCCAAGACTGGGGGGGGACCTTTAAGTCTGGTAACTGTGGCTATGTTATGTTTGTTATTTTATCAGCTTATCTCACCATTGCTGTTGGGTACTTGAGTGTGTGGAAAGGTTGTTAGGGTTGAATACAGCTGTTGAATATGTCAGCAAGTTTGAACTCTTTCCTGTTTTTATTTTGCAATCAGAGAGGAGTTCGTGGGAATGTTAGGAGGGGAGGCTTTTTATTGAAAAATAATAAGGGTGTTCCCAAATTTGTTTAAAAAATATTGTCATTAATACGTTTATACTTGCATAAATAATAATGCCTTTATGATTAAATCTAAGTAACTTGAGAGAATGGTATTTCTGCTCTGAATATTAGTCAATGTGTTTATACTTATACATTTGTATCTTATCTTAAAAATGACAGATATTGTATGAATTCACTCGATGCAGTCTCATTTTATGAATCAAGTATTGAAGTCAATAAGATTTCAGATGTGCTGTGCAATATTTCCAATCTATCATGACTATTCAACCTTCTTGCAGGTTGCCAATTCTTTACTGAAGAGAGTTCAATCCATGGAGAAGTCATGGAAGAAAGAGATGTTATTAGAACACCGGGTGGTGTCTGAGTTTGATTTGACATTAGATAACACAGCGGTACTGCAAGCTATTGATCTGCTCAATTTTATACAAATGAAAGGTACATTGATTATTAAAGTATCCCTGAGATGTCTATTTTTTTTTTATTTAACTTAATTAAACCTAACTGAATGTTTAACCTGTCTGCTTCATTTCTTCCAATTATTCCTTTTCGGGAATGTATTTTACTCTTCGTTTACAACCAAATTCTTGAGTCTTAAAAGTAGCGTCATTTGCTATCAAAGTGTTTATAATGCTGTTTGACAGTCGCAAATAACATAAATATTTAAGTTTTGTACATTGTAATTGTGCTGCATACTTTTGAATGATTAAACAATGTTTATTTCTGCATGACGTCTGTCCTTCACATTTCCACTGATCTTTCTCTTAAATTTCATTCAATGTTTTCAAGACTTAATTTTTATGTTTTTTATCTCCATATTAAGCGCCTGGTCCCCCAGTGATACTAACAGATGAATGCAGTGCAGAAAACAACAGTGTCACGATAGCCTGGCAACCTGATCCTATAAGTTGGGTGGAAGGTTTTGTATTGGAATTAGATGATGGTTGCCATGGCGAATTCCGAGTAAGTGCATATTCTATTTTTCATTTCAGTAATTGTATAGTTTTTTTTTTTATCTAATTATGATTCTGTCTAGAAATCATTAATTCTGGTGATATTACTAGTAATTCTGTTGATAGTATAATCAGTTATGGTGCCTTCGTTAAGAATGGTATATGGAGCATTTTATTTGTTAATAAGGGTAATCATTTACAGCAGAATTATAAGAACACATTATCTGCGGGAATAACAATAACATAAATATTTCGGTGCAAAGGACGAGAATATGTATGTACTAAGGGTGCAAATACAAATTTATTACTGATTAATATATTTATGTTCTTATGTTGTCTAGGGTATTCATTTTTATTGTACATTTTTATTCTTTTTATATTTTAAATAATATTACTAGTATATTACTTATTTTTTCAATTTTTCGTTAGATTATTATATTTTTGTCTTTTAATTTCTTTTCAGGAAGTGTACTGTGGTCGTGAAACTGTGTGCACAGTTGATGGGTTGCATTTTGACAGCACTTACAATGCGAGGATCAAAGCGTATAACCACGCAGGCGAGGGCACTTACAGTGAGACTGTGTGCTTGCAGACTGCTGAAGGTGGGCAGACACAACATGATTTATATTTAATTATGCTCGGGTTGAAAATGCAGTTATACGCTTGTCAGATTTTAAAATGTCTGAAAAAATTCATGATAGTCTCGCTAAAAAACACTTAAATATCAAGCACGTTTCGTTATAATATTGTGAATAATTATTATTTCTACTCAGAATTCAGATTCAGTTTTATATTCATATAAATTTTTAGTCAGGAATTTGTCAATTATCTCGGTTTTATTTGAAGTAGGTTGCCTCCTTCTGTGTAATAAACTGTATAAAAAATGATAATTATAACACATACCGGTAATTTTTATCTATCCATAATCTCATACTTACTAATATGTAAATTAACAGAATTTTGAAATTGCCATTAAATTCTTTGTCTTTTGAAATTCAATTAATCATATATCTACAAATTCATACCCTGGAATTGTCACTTGTCTTTTATAAATACAATGGTTGCTCAGGTGAAACAGACACAGCTGAACAATTGCGTCAAGTCATGTGAATCCATTTGATGTGTTTATGTAAAGGTTTTAGATGAGTAATTTCTCCTGCACTAAGACATACACTATTCATAAGTCATTCTTGCTCTACCGTGCTTTCCACCTCATTACTCACCTGAGTGGAGAGGTATTGTGACAACAGTTCATGCCATAAAAAAAAAAAAAAACATGCACACAATCTGAAAGGCTAAGGCAGCTTATTGTTACAAATCCTACTGAACAATCACGCTACTCCTATTTAAAGGTAATAGGGATTAACATTATTCGGAGACTACCAATGTAGTGCAACAGAAGTAGCTATTCAAGATCCTGTCCAAATGTCTGGTATTGTTCTCGGGTTTGTTTCCACTTTACATTAATGACTATGCATTTAAATGTTCAGACTTGTATTTTCAGTGGGACGCACCCATACCATTACAATTTCTAATTCTAAGCACTGGGTCATGGACCTTGATCTTTGTATTCGACAGCAAAGATCTCCCTTATTCATTGAATGCAAGTGTAAATATCAGGCACAAAAAATAAACCATGTATGAAATACATTGTTTATGTACATGAAATTTCAGCAATAACTGGGGCAGTTAAAATTAACTCATGGCCACAAACATATAAAAAAAATGTTATCACTACTCTTCATTCACAAACATAAAAAAGCTTAGTTTAGGGAGGGCAACAGTCAATTTACTACATATCAGTTTGTGATTAAAAATGTGATTTTATTGGCTTTCAGTTGCTTGGTTTTCATTGGATCCCTCAACAGCTCATCCAGATATTATCCTGTCTAATGACAATATGACAGTCACATGCAGTAGCTATGATGATAGGATAGTTCTTGGGAATGTTGGATTTTCCAGGGGAGTTCATTATTGGGAAATAGTAATCGACCGTTATGATAACCATCCGGATCCATCATTTGGCGTTGCCCGGTATGATGTTGCCAAAGATGCAATGCTGGGAAAAGACGATAATGGTTGGTCAATGTATATTGACAACGCACGTAGCTGGTTTATTCATAAAAACGAGCACAGAGATCGCACAGAAGGTGGAATTGGTGTGAAAACGGTTGTTGGTGTGCTCTTGGATCTTGAAAAGAAAACCATGTGCTTTTATCTAAACGACAAACCACATGGACCAATCACATTTAAAAATTTACATGGGGTGTTCTTTCCCGCTATAAGTCTAAACCGCAATGTACAAGTGACTGTACATTCAGGATTAGAGATACCTGTTGAAACAGACACCGAAGAGGAAGAGGAGGAGTGAGTGGAGAAAAGAAACAACGAACAGTCATCTTTAGTTTGCGCATAGAGTACATGATAGCTTTCCTGTTCATCATTATAACACTGCCTATTGTATAAATCTCTATATTTATCTTGTTAGATTTTTTCGCAATTTAAGACATACAATTTATTACAGTTGTAAAAAGCTCATTGTGTTTTTTTAACTTTTAATTTATTATTGCTAAATTTTGCATTTAGCAGCAGGTGTTTGTTGTCAAGGTTACTGTATGAAAACTTCTTTTCCATTACTGCTTATAGGTATCGCAGGTGATTTACAAATGTTATCTAGAAGTTTTAGCTCACTCAATAAGCAAACAAATCAAAATAGATTCTTGACTTGAATTTAATTAAAAATTCGTCCTCAATGATTGGTCTGGGTTCCTTCAGCAAATGTCATCCTCCTTTGCTCAATATTTTGTACACAGAGGGACATGTAATTATAATTTAATATTTCTACTAAGTTGTAAAATTTCTAAAAAAACGATTGGAAATTTATTTTATGTTTATTAATACAGTGGATAGTTTATTTATTGTCTTGTATCTGAATCAAGTGGTGCTATATCAGCTCCTGTTTCTGGTATGATTGCAGAGATATGGGTGAGAATATAGAGATAGTTAAGGGGTTTGTAAGTAGTACTTAGTTCACCAAATTTAATGATTGATAGGTGCGTAGAGACACAGTGTCTACGAGTTATGCAAACAAGTTATTGTATGTTCTGTGTGTTTCACCTGTATTTATGTTTGCCTAGATGAAATCTGATACGATTCCTTTTGTGTCCTGTCAGGAGTACACGCTCGCTGGTGAAAAAGAGAACATTTTACAATTAATTTGAAATCAATTGTGTGCATTATTATTTGCTGTATTACTTCCGTTCAAGAAAATTTATTTTGCATTGTCTGCTATTTATCTGTTAGTTTTTCAATTCAATCGATTTCAACTAATTTCTCCTTGTATACACTGTCAAAGAGTCGTGTGTAGGAGAAGAGAATGTGTGAATTCATGTATTTGCAATTGGAATGAGTTCATTGACCTAATTTCTGCTATATTCACGCTTCTAGGCCTCATTTGAAATTTTTAAAAGAACATCAATTTGTGAAACTTTTAATATGTCTTAGCCCTTGACTTCATTTGGGATCATTTTTGGAAACTGTGTATGTGTATCAACAATTATGGCATATATTTTTTTGATATATTTAGAATAACATTTTAAAATATATTCCTATTTGCTGGAATTCATGCAATTAAGGACGTGTATATTTTTTCACTTTTGTTTCAAGTATTGACCTGAAGTGACTGACCTGAATGCAATATGACTGTATGCAAGACAAACACTGTCAATTTTGTGCATTATTTGATCTTGAGCTTCCATTGTCGTCTAAATCGATACAGTATTATATGATGGGGGAGGGGGGTTGCTTCTTTGAATATAACTATTGATTTTCAAAATAAACACTGTCCTATAAGTTGCAGAGAAACATCTTCGCTGTGTAAATGTGAAGGTAGAATTAACTGTGTTTAAATCTTCAATATTGTTTGGTCTGTTATTGTTTGAGAGATTTAACATATTCCAAAAGACAAACCACTACACAAACAACCAGAGTTGCTTCGAATGTCATTTCTTACACCTATGTACATCAATTTGCTATAGAACGCGATATTTTCTGTAAGGGATATTGTTAACGGATTCGTTTTTCATATTCAGCATGTGTAGGAGAACTGAATAAGGAAGTGAGTGCAAATGCCAATCATAAGACCCCCTATCTTAATGCAAACAAAGCTCACAATTTTGACTCATGTTGAAGGTTTTTATAAAAGGCAAGATAAGTATTCATTGAAATATGTTTGATGTTTTGAGAAAGAAAAAAAAGATTAGTAGACATACTTGCTGCCTTCCGCTATTCAAATGTAAATTTTTCAATTGTACAAGATATAAAAATTGGAGTAACAATGCAAATTTTTGAAAATAATGGTGTTGGAATATAGAAGAGAAATATTAGTACAACTGTATTGTTTTTCATAGAATATTAGGTATATATGCCGGTATATATATATTTTTTAAATGACACCTGTCCCAGTAAACAGCTGTGCAAACTCAGATATCTGCATATAATTATCTCAAATATTTTTTCAATGCATAAACTAATTTCCAGTAATATTGCAGACAATGTGGGGAGCAGGTTAATTGATATTTTTTCATGAGGGTGCCTGTCATAAGTAAGGCAGTCTTTTGCATCAGTTAAACAATGGTGAAATAAACTACTACCAACAATTATTTCAAAATACTGTTTTCAATTAACATGTTGATTGATATTTTTGAAAAAAAAGCAACAGTGGGAGGGGAGGGGGGGGGTCATTTAAGTACCTCCTGACTTGTTTCCTGTCAGTGAATAGCTGGATTTCCATTCACTGGGAGATGTCACGTAATGCATGAAAGGTGCAGACCAAACGTCTTCTGTAAAAATCAAATGATTTGAAATTATGTAATTCAATGTCAAAATACCAATCTTTCAGAGTTGAATATGACATTGAGATGCACTTACTCCATCAAATGTGTATAGCACATGGAAATAGCCAAAAAATACTTTCACGTTTGTCGCTTCCTATGCGACATTTTGACAACGCTACAACACTGGCCTTTGTTTGTCCGGATTTTATGTTAAATTGCGCACATTGCGATATAGGTGAATCTCACAGTGAACAGAAAATTTTCTATTTGTCTTTGGATGGGATTATCTGTCGCATGTCTTCTATAGTTATGCTATGTTTGGGGCTGAATATTGCATGTACTTATATAAAACAGTAATGCATTCATGTGTCTGTTATATAAATTAATTTCATGGCTGTTCAACAGTAGCCTGTTTACCTTCCTACATTATACATTATACAATGAAGTCTTTGTTTCAATTTTACTCCTTATCCGTGTATGTTTATGAAGTGGTCACAACTGTCAGTGTGTATGCAGAACCGATAACTGTCATCCACTGTTTACAAAATTAGCATATTCAAATTAGCAGCATGCTATATTTATCAACCAATCACAACTGCCACCCTCTCACAGCACAGTGGAGGCTATATTTCCAAACTATTATGAGGGGACCCATCCACAAAATAATAGGAAGGTAACCAGGCTAGTACAATGGATAGAAATGATAGTTTGGATTTGAATAATTTGATATTAAATGAAAAATGGTTTTGTTTATAAATATTTAGGAATATATAACAGATTTGTGTCCACCATTGTAAAATAGCCATCTAAACATAGCAATCTGCATACTAAATTAAATAGGTCTACAACCCAATACTTACATGTATATTATCCCCTTGCAATCAAAATTACTGGCATTTTTTTTTCCCAAAACGATTGCTTACTCCAAACTCGCACGTTTGCATATTTGCTCATTCTTTGTAAGATTTTGCTATGTGGCATTTAATTTCATTTCAACGTGTTAGTTGACAATATACAGTGCCCTTGTAGTCATTACAGAGGTTCTTGATTACATTTTGCAGCCACTGTTTATGTCAAAAGGGTTTAGCAGTTGACCATTAGAAACTCAGCGGAGATAGGGGTGGATGGGCCTGCACATTGAAGCTAACTAATATATTCTTAAATAAAAACAATTCTTTCATAGAGGAAAGCTTGCACTATAAAAAAATCTCAAAACTGAGTCAAGAAAAAAATAATATGCACAGTTTTTTTTCATCTCCCATCCACGAGTTCCTAATGGTCAACCACTTATGTGTATGTGTATATATATATATTTTATGGCTTTCACTAATAAAAGTTTGAATTTAAGGTTCAATATGTGTTCACTTTGTTTCCATCATCCCTTAGGCTGGAGTTCACATGTATGTGTGGTTGGTGTGTTTGGTCACTGTGATGTATTTCACCAGGATCACTTTGTCGACTACTGTAAAATACTATATTTTAACTTGAATTAATTTTTGTGGAAAAGACTTTTGTATGAAGTTTGTTTTCACTGATTTTTTATTTGTTGATGCATTCCTTTCAGTGAAAATAAAGTAGTTTACAGTAACCTGGTCTAATTATGCAGGAGGTCAAATTGTAATCGTAGTGTTGTCTGTCAATTGAACAGCTGATCACAGACAATTGCTGTACTTGTTGTTTTCATTACCATGTCCCTGAGGGAAGCTATTTGTATCAACATGATTAGTCACGTTTTGGGCTTAAAATTCAACAATGTTTCTACCATATGTTTACATAAAATCACCACATTGACGACCAGCAAAATTTAAATTATTTCATGGCATATAAAACATAAAAAAATAGATAAAAAAAGAATATATTTATATCTGCCATTTATATCAAGTTCTTTTTCATATACCTAAAAAAACATGTCTAAACCGAACACCATTTCCCAGGGTCTTAGATTTTAAAACACTCACTAAAGCTCAGACCACTAACCAAAGTGAACAGTTTTTTCAAGTCCCTGTTCAGTTTAGGCAGTTACCACTCTCTCCCAAATACTACACCATTCAGTAAAGTTGTAATATTCACTGATTTTTTTTTTATTCACTAAAGTTTTTATTTTTATTTCTGGTATGGTGATGAAAAAAAAAAATTTGCCTTTTCTCCATCGAATGTTTAAAATTTGTTGCACAGACAACCTCCATCCTACCTTGTGCCTCTAATTGTGATAAATTATTTCAATTTGCTAAGAAAGAAATTGACAATTTAAATCACTAAAAAGTGTTTATGGGGTAAACTTTTGTTTCATTTCCTGCTCATTCTGGCAAGATATTTTTGTTTCATCTAAATGTTTAACAAGACCACATTTTTCAAATTCAGACAAGGAAGGTGTGACTTGCTTATTAAGTCACCTACCACCGTATTCTTGGTGGCGCTGTTTAGTACTCAACAAACAATGAATTTAATGACACTCTTGAATGATATATCTTGTATTTAAGTGACAACATGGAAGACCATAACAAATTTCATTTAGTATTGGGTGGCATATAAATAAAAATAAATGTATAAATCCGCCGATAGACGTTATACAGGGTTTAAGATGTCTGGAACGAGGCTGCTGCCAGTTTCGGTCCCACAATCCCTTGCTGTTTCCGTATAACAAATTAAATATGGCGCGGCGTGTGTTGACTTCTGAGGCGGTGAATGTCGAGTTTGAAACAAGCGAAGAGGTCCAGGTGACCCCAACCTTCGACAATATGGGTCTTAGAGAAGACCTTCTTCGAGGGATCTACGCGTACGGTAAGTTTGAATACCAGAATTGATGTACGGACTAGTGAAACGCGCTCTGAAAAATACGTCACCATAACGTTTCGACGAGTCTTCCTATAGTACACAACAATGTATTGTTTTCCCTCATACGTGTATGATGTCAAAACTCCTGTAGTTAAGTTGGAATGATATAGAAAAAAGCGTCGAAATATAATGTTTGAGCGACTAGTATATCTGTTTGCAGTTGCACTAAAAACTCTGTTCTTAACTACAGAGTGATTATTTTTACTTTCACCGCTTGGGGGCGCACTTCATAAGACAAGGATATTGTGTTGGTTTCCTACCTTGAAATATGGAGGTACCCGTAATCGCTTTTTTACCGCCATGCTTGAAACATTTCTTCTAAGGTGTTTTTATTAACAAAAGGATAGACTTCTTTTTGTAAACCCCCTTCCAAATTTCATTGTATGTGCATGCCTCTTTATTGTGGATTTCAGGGTGTCCTCAAGAAAGCATGTTCAATTGCAAAAGAAGTCATTCTAATAAAAATTGTTTATCAGTCTTTATCAACAACACATGACAATAGTAACATTTAAATAATTTGTTCAGAACCCCTACCATACCAAAATTGAAATTAAAACTAGTTGTAAATGTCATACAAGGCTTTGTACAATGTGTTGAAAACAATTGCATGAACTTATTTTTAAAGCTCTCAAAAGATTTTAATTGTTGATGATTCATAAAACTCTTGCAATGTTAATTTTCAGGTTTTGAAAAACCTTCGGCCATTCAACAGAGAGCTGTCAGACCAGTTGTGAAAGGTCGAGATGTTATAGCACAGTAAGTACTGTAGCCATTTAATATACTGGTTATGATACAAGAACTATACTGGAACAGAGTGCGATAACATATTAATAATAATTATTCAAATGAGGAACTATCCGTATAATGTATTATATTAAGTACATTTTAACCTCTTAATTATGATTCGTTTAGGGCACAGTCGGGTACTGGTAAAACAGCAACATTTTCAATATCTATCCTGCAGACCTTAGATACACAGGTGAGTCACAAAATTGATGCTGATATGTCACAAAAGTAGTCCTTCCAGTATGAATAAAAGTCTGGCTTGCCATAGATGTTGTAAAAAGTTTTGAACAACATGTATGATTTGTCTGTGTTTATAAAAGTGGCCTCTTTAAAAGGTGGTTGCCGATAATTTAGGCTTCTCAGAATTCTGTGTTAAACAATATAATTTGATCATCTACTTTTTGCAGTTAGATCTTTCTACTGAATATTTTACTGTATAATCTGGTTTTCTGGTGTCTTTTATTTTGGAATTCTGATCATTCCAGATCTTTAAATTGTTGTAGATCAGTTGTTTCAATGTAGAAGTCTGTATTGCCGGGGGTACCTTGTATGGTGTTACTGTTAGTATTAGATGTTAGAAATACAATTGTTTAGTGTGTGGTAAATCACAAACAAATGTTTGAAATGCTAAACTGTAACCTGTATGAATGTTTTAAAAAACTTGTTCACAAAGATGTTTTTCCCATGATTCTTAGGTTAGAGAAACGCAGGCACTTATTTTGTCACCCACAAGAGAACTGGCTGTGCAGATACAAAAAGTAAGATGATTCATTTCTGTTTATTGCATTCTAATTTTTTGGATTTTATTTTATTTAGAGTCATGATTTCTGTCAATTTCTAATAATGACCTCATAGCCTTAATTTTAGTATTGCAATTATTATCTGTTACTATGGTTGTGTTTCTAGTTGAATTGTTTGCGTTTTGCAGGTTATTTTAGCATTGGGTGATTACATGAGTGTGCAGTGTCATTCCTGTATTGGAGGAACAAATATCGGTGAAGATATCAGAAAATTAGACTATGGTCAACATGTTGTGTCGGGTACACCTGGAAGAGTGTTTGGTATCCTTATACGTTGTGTAACTTTATTTAGTCTTATAGTGTTCTGATACACATCAAATCAAAATTACTGTAGAATACTGTAAAAGGGTTAATTATTCACTGTGTTTTAATTTAGCTTATTTTGCTGACTGGAAAATGCGCTAAATTAAATCCCAGTGAATATGTAAAATTGATCATAGAACACATTATCTAAATGATAAAACCGTGAATTTAAAACCCACTGGATATGCCTGAAATGGTAAATCGTCGAAATTTAAATCCAGCGAAAATAAGTCATTTTACAGTACTTTATTTTCGCGAAAGGGATGATTCCGTGAAAAATATCCAGCGAATATACTTTTTTTCCTATATTTCACATTCAACTCATCAAAAATCAGTGACATTAAATTCCATACAGAATGCCCAAAATGCTTTTTCAGGGAATTCCAGCGAAAATAAAGTATTCTACAGTAGTTTGTCAGATACTACTGTATTTGATTAATGTTGTCAAGTATGCTCATTTGTTGTGCTAAACTTGAAGATGTATACAGTACCATTTTTAACAATAGCTGAAATATTGTTCTGTAGCTCGGTAATTTACTTTTCACATTAGTGTTTTTCTTAACAACATACATAGACATGATCAGGCGACGTAATCTACGAACTCGAGCAATCAAGTTGTTAGTTTTAGATGAAGCAGATGAAATGTTAAACAAAGGTAAGATGTGTTTCTCAATTTCTGAGTATTTATCGTAGGAGAATTTAATGCCTGCCGTGATGCTAGCGTAGTAGCTATCATGTTATTGTACGTCCATTGAACTCGTAAGTGACAGGCAAGAGTGTTTCCTCCACCATATTAACATTAAGGTAGAAGCCTACTCATAAATTAAAAAACCCAGAATTTATTCATTTTGCAATAAATTGTACTCCAAGGCAATATAAAGATATTGACCTAAAAAAAGTTTGGGGGTCACCAGCCTTTTTTTCGAGAAATTAATGGTTGTATTTTAGTGGAAAGTCGCCATTTTGACACTATTATAATATTTTTACCACTGGTTCCTATGGCAGAGATATTATGCAATATCTCAAAATCTAGCCTGGTGACATAGGCTGAAAAAATCATATATTGTTAATGATGGAGTACCTTTTGTTGTTCTGTATTATTAAAAAAAATCTGGGTTTTAAAAAGTGTCAAAAAAAATATTTTTTCTTTAACATTATGTTCTATGGAATTGTTCTAAAAATAGTAATTTTTAAGAAATATTGGGACACGTTTCTCAAAAAGCGTAACTGTAACACAAAAAATAATGCCATTACATTATACCATGAGACATTAGCTTCATGATTGTACATAATAAACTAATGAACATTGTCATGCGATTTATGACCAATTTTGTCAAAAATTATGACTAGGCTTCTACCTTAAGTTATGTAATATGTTGATTTATCTGAATTGTCTCTTAGGTTTTAAAGAACAGATCTATGATGTGTATCGTTACCTGCCGCCAGCAACACAAGTGATATTGTTCAGTGCTACACTGCCTCATGAAATACTTGAGATGACTCACAAGTTTATGACAGAGCCAATTCGTATATTAGTTAAACGGTATGTGTTTAGAATGCCATGTAACATGGTTAAATAGACTATTTTTGTACGGCATACTGTAAAATTCTTTATTTTTGCTTGGAATTAATTTTCGCTGAGGGAAAGATTCAGTGAAAATAAAATCCAGTGAATATACCTTTTTTCGTATATTTTACATTCAACTCGTCGGAAATCAGTGAAAATAAATTTCATACAAAACACCCAAAAGTCTTTTCAGCGAAAATTAATTTCAGCTAAAATAAAATATTTTACTGTAGTCCAGTTGTTTCATGGATCCATGTACAAGTATAGGATAACAAATTGATTTCATGAAAACTGAGGTACTGAAAACGAGTTATGTGTAATTTTTCTTTGTGTAGTGATGAATTGACGTTGGAAGGAATCAAACAGTTCTTTGTTGCGGTCGAGAGGGAAGAATGGAAATTTGATACACTTTGTGATCTTTACGACACATTAACAATCACACAAGCTGTTATTTTCTGCAACACAAAAAGAAAGGTAAGTTTGAGTCACAGGCAAACATTGCCTAGAGCTAAGTGTTTGGCAGTGTGAAAACTTTAATGCAAACACAGTGGCAAGAGGGTAAGTTTGCGAGACTTGTGATTGATGAAAAGCTGTTGTTTGCATGTGCAGTTTTGGTGGAACCAGTCACTTTATACATCTATGGAGATTTTGTATTGACATTAGAGGCTCAAATGTATTAATGTTTCAAATGGAAACATGGTATAACCGTTCAACCTGCACTAAGCAGAATACATGCTGGGCTCAATCAACAATCTTGTGCAATAATACCTTTGTTTGGATTGTTTATTCAGGTTGATTGGTTGACAGAAAAGATGCGAGAGGCTAATTTCACAGTGTCTTCAATGCATGGTGATATGCCACAGAAAGAAAGAGATGCAATCATGAAGGAGTTCAGATCAGGAGCCAGGTAACTCAACTTTCAACTTATGTTTTAGCTAAAAAAAATGCTCATTCATTGTCTAATTACTCAACTGTTCTAATTAGTTGAAATAACAAATGAGGTGTAAAAAACACATAATGTTGACAGGATTTGCAAGAATTTCACAGACACAACAGTGTCAGTCTAATCACAGTCCTTCTATCATTGTAGTCCAATAGAGCTTTATAGATAGTATGCAATTCTGTCCTCAAAAAAATGCTATGACATTCAAATTGTGCCAAAGATGGACATTAAAAAAAATAGATACTCTTTCGTTGTTAGAATGATTTCGACACAGTCACAAATTCAAAATTACACAACTGTAGTAAGCTTGTACTGATGCATGGTCAAGCAGCTATCCAATCAAAGACATTAAAATAAGGTAACTCATGGCAACCTTTCAACAACATTTTACATTTTATATTTTTTTTTTCAAATCTCTTGACGATAATGAACAGTGTCAAACTGTGTGGCAGTAAAATTAAGCCATATATATGTGTAGCCATATCCTGGGGAGAATACTTTCCTAGGATGCTAGATATTAAATTAATTGATTCTTTTTCAGTCGAGTGTTGATAACGACTGATGTATGGGCTCGCGGTATTGATGTACAACAGGTATCACTGGTCATCAACTACGATCTGCCAAACAATCGTGAGTTGTACATACACAGGTAAGCCTTGTAATCTGATGACCATTGGTTGTCAATTGTTCCACCCTTACCATTTTATGATTTGAGATCAGTTCATGAATTATTTTGACTTGATGTTCAATGCTACAAAATGTCACATTTTCCTTCTGACTCGCAAAATATGTGCATAGTTGCCTCTCGTTTACATTTGTTTATCTATTAAACAATTTTAAGTAACATGAAAATGTTTCTTGTTGAACAGGATTGGACGTTCTGGTCGATACGGCCGTAAAGGTGTTGCTATCAACTTTGTCAAAAGTGATGATATTCGTATCTTGAGAGATATTGAACAGTATTACAGTACACAGATTGATGAAATGCCTATGAATGGTAAGATTAGTGGTTAAAATGTTTACAAAGCACTACATGCAGAATGAAACAATGAAATAGTGTATTGCCTCTTTTTAGAATTGGCAAGATTAATCGGCACATTGTCCTTGCTCTCTTGTTACACAGGGTAGTGGGTACTTGATTCAGGTTTAGTTTTAGCGCTTTATTATTAGAAAATAATAACAAGAAATTGTCTTATTTTACAGTTGCTGATCTGATCTAAGTTGGCGGCTGATGAGCTCTGGTCATGGATGTGAACAAATACCAAGATGACAACAACATTGAAGAGTACAGTCACTTTGCACAATGTTCTACATCAGTGAACCCCAACACCATAAAATGAAAACCACATGTATATCATATTTTCACATAACTCTTTGGAACCAAAAGTCCATAGAAATAACATCCCCCCCCCCTTCAAAAAAAACCTTTCGCCTTGTGTTTATTTATACCAATATCAATATTTTTGTCATCACATCTTGTGTTCTTAGATAAAGTCACTAGTTTAAACATCACTGTCAAGATGTACAACCCTGCTACATTTAGATCATGAATTAAAAATACTGGCTTGTGATTGTGTATGTTAGCCTAAAACTCATCGTTTATGACTTACAATGTGTAGGAAGATCAAAGTGTTCTATTGAAGAAAATGAATATTTTATCTTTTGTGTCAATTACGACTCCATTATGATATTTCTCTTTTAGTGACTTTCTTTCAGATGAACACATACTTTTTATCCATATGTATGTATGTATGTTTGATTAAATCATTTATTAATAAAAAAATATCTTGAAACAATTATCCTGTCCGCTGTTGTTGTCTTATGATTCATTTCTTAGCAAGTTACACCATAGAGATTAGTACGGGTTACTGGGAGATAGTCAGCTGTATGCCATCTTTCACTCTGAAATCATTAATACAGTTGTATTGAAGCTCTTGTGTGAAATATGTGTGAAAAAGTCTGAAATGAACTATAATATGCTAAATATCCTTCAAAATTGAATTCAATACACATCATATTTCGCACAATTCAGTAAATTATTTAAAGACCCAAATAAAACTATATCTCTAAGTGTATGAAGGTAAAACATCCATTCATTGATGTGTATTTGAACAGTAAACTAGACTCGCGGGCAGTGCATGATGCATCAACTGAACTAACGAAGCAGTTTGTGGCTGGTACAATCTTTCTTTGTAGGCAAAATTGAAAATGTGTTTTGAAATATTATCGGTAATGTATCTAAAAAAAATTTCATGAAAAATACTGGCTGAACTTCAGATGGGAACAATTCTAACCAATTATGGTATATGAAAAAAAATATACAATACTGTGTATGTACATGTCTTTGTAGAATGAATTGGATAAAAGTTCCCAAAAAGTATAAGCAAAATTGGGGGGGGGGGCAATATTTGCCAAGTAATTATTTTGGTGTGAAGTATGATTAATGGTCACCACAGGGGAAATCAAGGAAATTATATGGTAAAAGCTGATGGATTAATTGATCTGTGATTCAGAAATTTTCTGCAGGTTACTAAGCATGCTACTACATATAACAACCTCTACATCAGGGATTATTAGATATAGGTGAATAGGGTAGTGCATTATGCTGAATCAATGTTTGAGGGATTCCCTGATAACAATTTCTTTTATTACGACTAATGCTGTGCTCCACATGATTGCTTCTCTGTTTTCTGGCTACAACTAAACTACATGTACAAACATGCTACTGACATTGGATTGTTGGTGGCATGTCTGTTCACAGGTAGATAAGTCAGATAAGAGAAACCATGACACGATCCTCTAGCCTACAGTTCAGAACATCCTGTGCAATTCCTGTCAATGTATTGTAAATGTTTTCATTCCCTGCACTTCTATGCTTGACACATAATAGTTTGCTCTGTTTTTATAAACCTAATGAAGATTATGGCCTTATAGTTGTGTTGTGAGCAAAGCTTAGCTGAAAACCCTTTAAGTTTTGAGTAACTTGGCCAAAAATCAAATCTGAAAGTTGCGGTGTTGTACTGACCAAACCTGACACATTGTGCCGCTTATCTACTTGATTGTGTTTTGACTCTAGGTGGTGCTGTTTGTTGAAATACATTTTCAGCTTCCAAGGTTCAATACATCTTCACAAACACATTAAGATGTTCTCATTTTTTGTACACTGTAAGTTTATTCTATTATGAAGTATTTGCAATAACAAAAAATGGGGGTCATCGACCTTTGTTTTGGTAAAATCATACGTTCATATTATGCAGTTAATACACAGGCTCTATGGAGAAAAAATAAAACATTACCTTTTAACATTCAAAACCATTTTTTTTAAACTCAGGATAATGAGCTGGTAGAAAAAGCTATTTTCTACAAATAATAATAATGGGTCACCAGCAGCTTTTTTAAAATGATATTTAGGTTTTACTTTTACGATAGTTCGCTATATACACACAGATACATGTGCAATATGTGTTCTCATAGAAAACCAATTCGCAATAACGACCATACTCAAGTACTTTTCAAATATAGTTTATACTATTTCCTGAAAAATTAAAATTTTATATCTTTTAGTTTTACAGATTCATTATACTAGAAAAGAGCGAAAATCTCCCAACATGAAATATTTCTGATATAATATAATATGCAGTTTCTTCATATTTAGTTACACTCACGCTTGTCTGAGCTTATGCTCAAACTGGTAGAGAATGCGATTGCAAGAGAAGATGAAACATGCATAATTCTAACATACATATAAAATCCTGAATGACAATGTCAGTTGTATTCTCTGACTATAGAGGGCGCTTTAAACAATTTATGGTTTCCAATCCAGCAATAAATTACGCTGATAATAAAGCTTGAATTTTCAGTTTTGAAAAGACAGTTAAATGCCTGAGATATGAATATAGACGAGCATGAAACTACATTTAATTAAATCAAAGACAAGTCATCAAATATCTTTGGTTCAATCACGTTTTTGATCAATTTGGATGTTAATTTGATGTTAATTTAACTCAGAAATACACTGGCAGAGAAGTATGTGCAACTCAATAACATTTAACTACCACTGCCATTACAGGCTGATAATGCTAACATTATCTGGTGAATACATCAAATAAAACTAAACAGGTTATATCAGTCAACATATCAAACCTTTATTATTAAACAGTGTCGCATAATACATAAAAAATATTACAAAAAAACATGAACTAGAATTAGAGTGAAAAGTTCAGTCTACAACTCAATTTTAACTTTTGTGAACTAGATGTATTTACAAAAATGTTGACTGCACTTAATAATTCATAATAGACTTTTACAGGAGTATGTAAGCAATAAAAATGAATCACCAATATTCATCATAATAGTAAAATGCATAAATGAAATATGTTGTATTTACACACTTTCAGTTTTCTCTCAAAATACAGAGACATTGTAGTTATTAACGAGAGTGGAATGCTTGTACAAATAGAAAATAGAGTCAAGTTCATATTTCTTTTTTTTTAAGGGGGGGGGGCATTTAAACATCTTCTTCATCCTCATCTTCATCAACATCTTCCATCTCTTCTGCATTCTCTTGCGCTTCCTGTTGTGCGGCTCTCAATGCTGCCTCCTCTTCCACAGTTGGATCTTCTGCTTCAGTGATTTCTGGGCCACTTGGGAATTCTTCCATTGCTGGTGGTAGTTGTGGTGGACTGTAGTTATCTTGTAGGTATTTGTGTCCCCAACCAATGTACACATTTTCAAATTTCCTAAAGATGAATAAATTAAAAATGATATCAATAAAACAATGATGGAAACAGCTGCCTGTGCTTGAAAAGATACAGCAAAGAACATTGAAGCACGGAACAAAGTTGAACATGCTGAATTATCAGATAATTAACAGCCACTTCTCCACTGCCTGATAATCATATAGTACTAAAACATTGTTAAGTAACTTACTTTTCAGTGCCAAACGCATGTGCACCAGGCCAAAGATTTGAGTGAAGGACTGAAATGGCATACTGAGGAACAAGGTTGGAAGAGAGCTTAGCTGACCATGGTGGCAAGTTGTCAATTTCTGTAATAAAATAAAAACATACTTGAAAATATGTGTGTAGTATGCATTAGGTGACATATATGTGTATTTATATTGGAATGAAAGATCTTCAATATCTCCTATAAACTTACCAGCATCTTCAGACAGAGGGGTCAGAAGTGGTGGTCCTGTTTCTGGTTCTGGCTCATCTGGCTCTTCCCTCTCCTCATCTTCTTCCTCATCCTCAAACTCATCCTCTTGCTGCTGCACTGGGTTGTACCATGAACAGCGACCCTGAATTTAAATTTACATGATAAACAATTAGGCAAGAAAGTCAATGAACCTACTGTAATGCAAAAGTCATGATGTAGCAACTGTGGCTGGTTCAACTAACAATGTTTTAATTTCAATTTATAAAACAAAATGTAACGTTACCTGTGGTAGGATATGTTGTACATGGTGCACCCAATTTGACAGAGAGGGATCAACTAATTCCCGAACTGGAATTCCTTCAAAGTCTGGATTCTCTACGAATGAGTCACGGCCTACAAAGACAGAGAATAGAGTGTTATTCACATCCAGGTAAATTACACAACATTCAAAGATAATGTATGCAGAAGACTGAACTGAATGCATAGATAGCTGTAATAAAAACATACCTTCAGAATCTTCTTCTTCTTCCTCTTCCTCATCAAACTGGTAGAATCCAAGGGGGCTAATGTGTGTGCCAGCTGAAATACGAGCAATCTGTGCACGTAAGTAGTTGGCTTCATTACCGGGGAATGGAGGATAACTAATAACTGGAGAATCCAATCTACCAGTAAAGAATTTCTTGATTTGTCTGGCTACAGAGATCTGTTGAGGTGTAACAGGGGGCAGCTTCGTCCACATCTTTCCAGCTAAAAATGGGGAAATGAATGAAGAACATCAGATCACACACATTGACTCAAAGCATTAAAATGACAAAGTAATACATTGTATGTAGTCGTGAATAGAAATGTAGCAATGAATTACAAGACTCACGTTCAATTGTCACAAAGTACGTCTTCTTGTTAGCGCCTGTACGATTCTCTTCTCGTGGGATAACTGGTGGTGGTTTCCAGTCTGGTTTGGGGGTATCATCCTCCTCTGCTTCTTCTGTACAACATAAAAAAAAAAAGAGTTAATTATTAACATTTGACACACTGAGATACTAGGTGGCCTTAGATAATATATGTTCTAGTCTCTCATCTACTACAGGTACAAAGTGATTACAAACCTCCTTCCTCGCCTGCTTCATCATCTTCTTTTTCTGTCTGCTCTTCTGCTTCTGCTTCCTAAATGACAAATAAAATTGTTTAACTTTACTTTCTGCACCTGATGAGCTTCAGTTAAATTAGCTTATCCATTCATCCAATTTAACCACTTTGTTTTTACCAAACTCTGGAAACACACTTCCAACACATAAAAACGGTACTCAATACAAATAGTCAAGTCAGATAAACAAGTTACATATGTCTAAACAAGCAAACTAGCCACTCACCTCTTCTTCATCTTCCTCCTCTTCTTCACCTTCCCTATACTCAACTTCTGCAATGATGTAATTTTTTTCTGTTCCAATTATTTTACCCCAGAACCTACAACTTTGTAGTGGGTGGTTGTCAACTAGATTTTTCAGTGCCAAGTAGATTCGCACCATCTCTTCTCTGCTAACACCAACCTGTGATGACGAAAGACAACAATTGAAATTAAAACAAATTCAAGCTGGATTTACAATATTTAATTGAAAAATAAATTCAGATATTGTATGCTAAAATAAACTCGAAAATACTCACATCAGCTTGTTCAAAGTTGTACATAAGTTCTGGCAGGTTTGGTAATGGGCTCTCATTATCTTCCTCTACTTCAATATCAGCTCCTTCATCAGTATTTTTCTGAAATTATAATTAACAAATACAATTTGACATGCACTCAAACTGAAGGTAATGTGCTGCATATAGAGAAAAGAGTGAGCACAGAATCAGAACCAAGAAGAAAACATCCAAACATGAGAGTGCGGGTTAGACTAAAGGATGCTGATTTGATGCAGCAGAACAGGTGTCAATTGGTCGGATCATAGGTTAGGGAGCACGCATGACTTCTTGACAGAAATACCTTCTGAAATGCGAAAGCAGCTGATATATTAAACTTGTCTTTGACTTTGCGTTGACTGTCACTGTTATCCTATTTAGTGAGTGAAAATAATTCTGATATCTATGTTAGGAGTACTCCAAGACACAAAATTTGAGATAAACATGCATGAACATGCTAATATGTGGGAAGCTGAATTGCAAAGACTCCAATAATAGCCATGCATATGTAAAAAAGGAAGGAAATAAATAAGACAATTTCCTGTTTCAACATTCATGAAAAATTAAATAAAAAAATACATTATTATACACAACGAAAATGACTGACAACACACTGTACTAATCAAGCATCAGTAAAAGTATTCAGCAAAAAAAATGAACAAAATCTATAAACAACATCAATTATTTAAAACTTAAATTGAAAATACAGATCATTCCGACCAATCAATTAATCATACAAACATTCATGGTCAACTAAATTTCTACAAGCAAACTACTATCTATAAAAGCAGTGATATCTATTGATACTATTTTAGGGTTTCATGCATATTCACTCGGTTATAAATTCTTGATTTTGTAACTGCTTATGTGTAATACGACAAATTTCCTTCATCCCCCAAATGGTTGTTTGCATGTGAAAAAGCAGCATTTTAAAACCCAGTGAATAATTAATGCAATGAAAGTAACCGAGTAAAACATGTCTCACTTTGTATCATAGCCTAATAAATAACTCACCTCAAACAATGGTTTCTGCACTTCAGCAAGTTCAACTTCAGTGGAACGGTCTACTTTATCCTGGATTGTATCAACTTTTGATATAAATTTATCTCTTTTGCAATCTTTGCTTATATCTTCAAAAATGTCTGAAACAAATCAGTGTTGATTATATAGAACACCTCGGAAACGTCACACAATATAATACTTGGTAATACTCAAACTGAAATTTGCGTGAAGAACTTACCAACTGCATTTGCAGGTCTTCCATCTAAAATGTTTGAAATAACTTTGCTAAGGTGATCATATCTAGAAAAAATAACATGGCAACCATTTTTTTTAAATTTCGTGTTTAGATAAACAATTCCAGTTACAACTTACATGTTAATATAAATACAATTAGTTTGACCTGAATTTGAGCAGCCTGAGTGAAATCACAGTCCTTTAGTCACTGTGGTGATATAAAACCCAATAAAACAGTAAGTTAGCTATATGTTGTACTGATTCATTATATTTACTAAGTGAAGTATGTTTGTTAAATATAGTTTGAATGGAGAAATGTTTTAGCGTTTATACTTACAAATTAATATTTGTTTTGGTGCTTGCTGTCAGGAGAAACGCTTTTGCATTCGTAAATTCTGCCTCTTTAGGGTTTAGGTTTAGATTCACATTTTGAGCAGAACTCACAGATCCGCGGGGTGTAGCTACAGCAACAGGAGTTCCCACAGGACTAGCAATTTTAGGGGTTTCTGGCTTTGCCTCTTCGACTGGAGGTTGCTGTTCGGGCTCGTCTGTCGTCGACATATTGTTTGCGGTCTTCTGGATAAACGTTAAAATTTAAAGTCGGTAGAAAACGTTCTTTATCGTGTTGGTTTGTCCCAGACGTTGTCAAAAGTGTTATTGGCACGCCAAAGATCGCAAATTTCAGCCCAGGAGTGTAGAAAACAGTGGCTGGATACAATAACCGACTCTTCAGCAGCCCGTTTGCTTGTGGTTCATCAGTGTTGCTATGCGATCTGAGCTCGGTAAATAAACCTGCGTTGTGCATAACGTCAGCACTATCTAAAACGTCACCAATGTGTGCGCTCCTCTAAATATCAACTATAGATGGCGCTATTTTTGTCAACGAAAGTGCTCACACTTGCTGTGTTCTCCTTCTTTTGTCGGCGTTTACCTGGAGATTATATGGTAGATAACTGTGGTTCACTATTCCTAGACTGGTATATACTTCTGGGGGCGTATAATAGGTGTTCGGATAGATCGCTCGTACTCTTGATGTCGCTGGCGTCGCGTAACATGGGCTAAGGACGAACGATTATTTTGGTAAACGCGATTTTTTTCTCAATTTGTTGAACTGGTTCAGTGACCGCCTGTATCGTATATCCGAAATAACGGTGAAGTACACATTATGTACGTGTGCGTATGCTAGCGAATAATCCAAAATTCAATCTCGTGCAACATGCTGTCCAGAAAAAAAGAACCGAAGGCCAATATCACCGAGGGTATGGCAGGACGATACACTAAAAAAGAAACTTCACCGTGGTTGAAAGGTGAGTAAAAAATAGCCCCATTACTAACGTATGTGATATATGACACTGTGACCATCACATTTCACTTATTTTAAAAATTAGTAAGAATTAAGCCTAAAAATTGCATTTTATTCTGCAGCATTAGTATGTTCTAAAATACAAATGCAACAATATTGGTTTATCTTGATACTCACCAACCTTTTATCAAACTCCACCCCTTCACCTCATAGTTGTCTGAGAATGGTAGTATAATATTAACTAATGTACAGAATAATTCTTATCTGTGTACCCCGTATAACTGTTTAAAATGTCATTAAAAAAAGGTCAGATTTCTATCAACAGGTATACTAGACATTTAGATTGAAAATTTATTTAGATAGCGCATGAACCCAAATAATAATAATAATAACTCTTATGTGATAATTCATAAAATATAAATATTATTAGTTTAAAAGGGTTTCTGAGTATATACTGGTAGACAGCGAACTTTTTAATGTGTGATTCTCTATTTGATAGTAAATATGTGAATAGTTTACTATCTTTTATTTTGGATAGAATCTTAATTTTAGAGTAATATTATTCATGCTGACAGTATATTTATCATCTATGTTTTTATCTATATTTTTTTGTATCAAATTCTATCTTTTACTGGATTTTTTTAGTTTTGAGTGTCTATTTTTTTCCATTTCAATCTGTTATCTGTCTAACTTATATAAAGGGCGATAGTCTTCGTACCACGCATGCGCGAGATATATGGGTCTTATATAAACAAAGATGGCGACCTAGACAGTTGCACAGATCAACAAGTACGAACTAATACGTTTCCAAGCTTTAATTAGGTAATTTTAGGTGATTGGAAGGTATCAAAGGAGTCACCGGCTGTAATCAGTGCAAGTTGCGCCCAGGTCAAATCTCATACTTGCGAATTCCATTTGAAGAGCGCATTAGATTGTGGGAAAATCAATGTTTATCAACACAAATGTCACACATGTGCAGCGCGATGACCACCACGATTTAACCTTTATGTGGTAAAACCAATGTACATTAGGCTGAAAAGATTTGTATATACATGATAAACATGTACATGTATTGTACTTGTCTGCATGAAGAATGCAACAGACCTGAGACTGAGATTTGGCCCTTTATTGTACACCTGTCTCTGTGTGTGACCCAAGCAGAACTGTTACAGTGATTTTTTTGTGGATTCATGCAAACACTTTATGAGTATAGCACCACAAATGCAACAGCATGATTAAAATGTAAATCTGATAAAATACATAAGTATAAATTAAAACAGGTGAATGAAACTGTTATTTTTGTGTCATCATCATTTCTATATTTGCACTATATTTCCCCCAAAATATCCTACTTTTATGTAGAGAGAAGGAAGGGTGTATAATAATTATATGAAATATGTTTCAGTTTTTGGCAAACTTTGAGAAGATATAAGAAGTGTACAACATAGTATATAACACTGTTTTGTTTTGTGAAAGGATTGGATAGGCACAACATAGCAGTGTGCATAGAAGAGAGGGAGTTAGGGTTGGATAGGCACAAGGAAGCAGTATGCAAATTAGGTTGGAAGCAAGGGTTGAATAAATACAGGATAACAGTGTGAAAAGAAAGAAGGTAGGAAGGTTGGATAGGCACAGAGCAGCAGTATGCAAATTGTTTTTGAATTACATATGCTCGTGGTATAACTCAAGACATAATGTAGCTAAAAGGTACTTTGCTTATCTTCTTTTCAACAAATTAGACTTCCGGGGTATTCTCTATTGAGGAAAAATGCTGTTTTTTATGTCTCATTGAATTATTGGTTGACCAGTAGTTGCCAATTTTATTCTAGTGGTCCAGTTTAAATTGTTGATAGTAATTACATTATACTACTAGATAAGTTTAAAAGATGAAATTTTCATCAAAAAACTTGAATAAATATTTATCAAAACTGCACTTGATACTTTCTTTTTTATTAAAAGTTAATTATGGAAGAAATAAATTTGAATTGTTCATTTCATGCAGTCCAGTACACGTTTCTTTAATTAATTGATAATTAAATTATAATTAAATTCTTTAATTAATTAATTGTATAATTGCATCATCTATTTCAGATTACATGTCACCAGTGATTCGTCATGGTCGAACATTCCAGCGTCGATCTTGTTCTAGTTCAAACGATTCATCAACTCCAGGAACACCAGCTTTTTCAAGTAGAGCAAATTCAG